GTGTGCAGAACTTTAAAGCTACCAGGATTGATTTACAGCTACAGATTCTCGTTTAATAAACAATATATTTGAATTATAATCAAGGAAATAACGAAATAGAAAGTATTAGTAATATATTGTATCTTTGTAGGTAGATCGAAGATGTTCCAATTCTTTGATCAGGCGATATTGTGGATAAAGAAAGCGTGCTAATTAAATACGTCGTTTCCATTTTTAAAAAGACCTGTTTACATGACATTTAATAAAAAGACATGCATTATATATATAAGTAAGTTTCATGAAAATAGTTAGATATAGTCAATTAGATTGAAAAAACACAGTGCCAGTTTCCGTGTGTTTCCAAATTGGCTCAGTGGGTTATTGGGGGATGAGGGAGAGAGAGAGAAAGAGAGAGAGGAGGAGGTGGAAGAAAGAAAACAACATCTAACATTACTCACGAAGTCTATTACAACCTAGCCACTGCCGACATAAACATAACCCATTGTAAGCTATGTAAGCAGAGAGACACTTTAATGACATCTTGTCCACAGACATGGGCTCAATTCATTGCAATGAAACAAAAAAGATCTCTGATCCACACGAATTAACAGTTCCTTATGATATATTTTTATAATGAGAACAACGTTTACACTAATTAAAACCGTTCTTATGTTGTACTTCCTAGATCTTGAGTAATAAATGTTTGTATGCACGCGTCGAAAAAGTAGTCCCTGATAAATGAGAAAGTGTCACCACAATGACTGCACATTGATATACTGATATCATGATATCAAACGTCATTGTAAACAATGACAGGTGGCAACTCAACGACACGTTGATCAAGATAATTGAACAGTTACACCCTAAAGAGTTTGTGCACGCATGTTTGGGACGTCGACAGGTCCCTGGGGTGTTATCATTGTAGGTTACGTAGTGCAACTTTGCATAAACGCGATTGCGGTAGTGATGATATAAAGAATTTAACATGAATATGAATTAAAGACATGTTATGACCCAGATACATGTGTTTCTTGTTTTCTTCCGCTGTAACTTTGAATATGTAAGATAAAATGCTAATTGTGAGTTGCATTTAAATCGTGCTGAACAGTATTTCGACAACACAACAGTTTTCATGACAGAAAGCCGCAACATTACTTAGAAAGGATATGTGAGGGTGTCAGGCAACATGGATGTAACCTTTGAGGCGGGTGCTACTGTTAGGGTGGGACTTGCTTTCCATATCATCGGGTTGTGGCGTGTGATCCTGTGCACAGAGCTTAGGTCACAAATCAACAGAAGCTAAGCAACGCCGAGCGCGGAGAGCTGTTGGATGGGTGATCTTGATTGGCAACTTGAATTCTTTGAGTTTCAAGGCTTCAGTCATGTGGTCTCACCATAGGCAAGTGATTTTGTTCAAAATTGCCACCCAACAGAAAAATGGGTACCCGATGGAAAAAGTCATGTGACTATAACTTTCTAGCGCCTAACAGGCAGCTTGGGTTATCCGGGGTAATATTGCGCTGGGCCTTGATTGTTAGAGCTATGGGAATACCTGGCGTGGAGTTTGGCGCTATATAAATGGTCACATTATTATCATTATTATTCTGGAACAGGTGGTATCATCACTGGCTTGCACTTATCCATCCATGTATTGCTCACGTCTAGTTGCCTTCTACGACCAGAGAATCAGTGAATTATGGATACTGGCTAATCTCATAACTCAGGCTCGTCGTTTGGTGCAGTTTGCTTAGGAAGAATGTATACATAATAAATTTAGGAGATTACAAACAGACGACAGCATGTTTGTATGCTGAGTATCAATATTGTTATGACAGAGCAGATGCATCGAAATATCCATCATTGTTACGTTCATCATTTTATGATATTTTAATAAAACGGACGCTGATGGTCTTATGACATGAAGCACCGCAACTAACAGTGCAGAGTTCCCCAGGAATGCAATGGTTTCCTCATATGTGGTCTTTAGTCATTTTCAAAAATAGTGGGGCGAACCCCTGACGACCCCCACACACACCCTCCCATCTGGATCCACCACTGTTCCTGATGGCGTTGTTGCCCAGAGAGATAACCAACTGTTCGGCTTTCTTCCCATTAGAAGCCGAGGATTGTTATATAACTGACATACTGAATATAATTTAAAACACTTTGAAATATACAGCTAACGTTTTGACACATGCATGTCCGTCTGTTTAACCATATGTCAGATAACAACACGACCTCATATCAACACAGACATGTCAATGATTTCTCTGACACACAAAGTCCGTGTCTGGCTTGAACTTCAGGAGATCGAGACCAGCACTAGAGGACAAGCGCTTACATCTGCCATGTGTTGTTCAACCCAATAATGCCACTGGCACGAAACGTCCCCACCACGTATTTTGTAATCAATGTTATACTTTAACCTTGGATTTATTTTGTCCCCTATGAATACCCCAAGGGAATTTCAATTCATACATGATCTGTTTAGGGTTGTGTCAACAAGATCGTTGTCATTTGTTATCACGAGTCATGCAACGCAGTCTGATTTTCTGATAAAACCTATCAATCTTCTGTATCGCAACTTGATTTGTTTTGTTTGTGAACGTTAAAGAGGCTAACCTAGTTTTTTAACGTTCGTTTGTACAAACAATATTAGAGTTGTGTTTAATAATTTACATCGACTTGAAAGAGAAAACGTTGTCTATGACTAGTGGGTCACCAATATTCTGCCGGGAATTGCTGGCGAGTGTTGTATTTCTCTGTCGCACAGCAGTTGATTGAGGTTCGAACCTCAGAATCCAAGCAATCATTATCCTTGGTGTGCCATGGTGTTGCAGTTAATTCCAATAGCCACTGATTTACCCACCTGAAGTAGAAAATAGAAGATTCCGAATAACGACAATATGTCCACAAGGCTGTGTGACAAGAAGGATGGTTTCATTCGACCTACTTCATCTCATGTGGAGCAATATTCCTGCAGCTTCAGTCCATAGTGCTGACATTTCACAATTTTTAGTTTAAATCGACAATGCTCTTTTCACAGTAAACCTACAAACCCTCTCCACATACATAAGAAATTGAATGTACAATTCCGACTATACCATGAGCATGTGTTTATGAATCACTATGAAATTAGTGATGATACCAGGTTGTTCTTGAAAAGGTGGCCCACCGACGGTACCTGTCACAAACAAAAGCAAAGGCTAGTCAATTATTCACCTGCAAAAACACGGGTAGAAGTCAAAACAGAGAATTCCATCGGGCATCTTTTGTGTCAGTAATGCGTCAAATTTGGATACGCCTTCCACATATTTACCACAAAAACTTTTGAAGGCTTTGCTTTGATTGTTGTAACCTTGATCAAACAACTTCTGACGAACATATCACGCTCTTTGAAAACATATTCGTCTTCTTCCACGGATTCCAAGAAATCGGGTATTTTCACATTTATGATCGTATGTTTGACTCTTTAAAAGCATTCACAATGGGCACATTTCATTGTTCTAATATTCCTTTTCACCCATTCCTTGCCTACTAATAATGCCTGTAAGTAATTGCATGTATATTTCAAGAACATGTATTTGTTCAAGAAATAATCTTGTTTCTTCCGTGAAATCTGAAACAATTTAATGTTAATTAAGACCAACTGCTTTGGCTATGAGTTTGAATTAAGTGCGAATATCATAACATAAACAAAACACCACGGGAACAAGACACCCTCAAATACCATCAGTTGCAAATGTTGCAAACAGCCTCTATGTCCCTAATGTCCGCGACCACACCATATTGTCTGTCGGCAAACGCTGTTATCACCTCAACTGATAGAATCGCAGTATGACAGTTTCTAAGCAGAGATAAGCAGATCAGATCACAGGAACCCACAGCCAAACACATGTGCAAATAACTGAATATGTATATATGAAGTACTTTATCCCCTCCTCTGTGAAATCACGCTCACGGTGCAGTCAAACTGATACTGATATTCTTTGAGGGAAAATGAGGCAACCATTTTGTCCAAACGGAAAAAGACTTGGTGTCCCTTTGCAGTTGTCCTGCAGTAGTAGTAGTAGTAGTAGTAGTAGTAGTAGTAGTAGTAGTAGTAGTAGTAGTAGTAGTAGTGGTAGTAGTAGTAGTAGTAGTAGTAGTAGTAGTAGTAGTAGTAGTAGTAGTAGTGGTAGTAGTAGTAGTAGTAGTAGTAGTAGTAGTAGTAGTAGTAGTAGTAGTAGTAGTAGTAGTAGTAGTAGTAGTAGTGGTGGTAGTAGTAGTAGTAGTAGTAGTAGTAGTAGTGGTAGTGGTGGTGGTAGTAGTAGTAGTGAGTAGTAGTAGTAGTAGTAGTAGTAGTAGTGGTGGTAGTAGTAGTAGTAGTAGTAGTAGTAGTAGTAGTAGTAGTAGTAGTAGTAGTAGTAGTAGTAGTAGTAGTGGTAGTAGTGGTGGTGGTGGTAGTAGTGGTAGTAGTAGTAGTAGTGGTAGTAGTAGTGGTGGTAGTGAGTGGTGGTAGTAGTGGTAGTAGTAGTAGTAGTAGTAGTAGTAGTAGTAGTGGTAGTGGTAGTAGTAGTAGTAGTAGTAGTAGGTAGTAGTAGTAGTAGTAGTAGTAGTAGTGGTAGTAGTAGTAGTAGTAGTAGTGGTAGTAGTAGTAGTAGTAGTAGTAGTAGTAGTAGTAGTGGTAGTAGTAGTAGTAGTAGTAGTAGTAGTAGTAGTAGTAGTAGTAGTAGTAGTGGTAGTAGTAGTAGTAGTAGTGGTAGTAGTAGTAGTAGTAGTAGTAGTAGTAGTAGTAGTAGTAGTAGTAGTAGTAGTAGTAGTAGTAGTAGTAGTAGTAGTAGTAGTAGTAGTAGTAGTAGTAGTAGTAGTAGTAGTAGTGGTAGTAGTAGTAGTAGTAGTAGTAGTGGTAGTAGTAGTAGTAGTAGTAGTGGTAGTAGTAGTAGTAGTAGTAGTAGTAGTAGTATTTCTCGATGAAGGTTTGCTAGATGTGAGATGGCAAGGAATGACCTGTTACTGAATTGTGTGTTTGTTTGTTGCAGTTCCCTCTGAGGAGGTTGCCGGGATCATCATGGGCGGCGTCAGCGTGGTGGTCATCACCTCCGTCATCGTCTTCCTGTGCTGGAGATATCCCACCTGTAGAACACGAAGCTTCTGGGACAGGAGCGTCAAGAGAGCCATCAGGAAGATGTATGGTAAGACCAACTTAAGCCAGAATCAGTTTGTAACAGTATATTAATGGCATGCTCAGTCTGTTTGATAGAGATGTCGTTCTTTCTAAATTCCCATACATATACGTAAATAAAGTCATAGATCGATAGTCGAAGGCTGACACATGCAACGGAACCTCTTTTACACTGTTAGTAACATATGTTCAGACATCCGTGGACAGATCGTCTGACCGGAGACCAGCTACAGGTTCGATTCTCGGCCGCTTCTAACCAAAGTACGTTAAAAGATGTTACTTGTTACTTTGCCTCCCTCTCGGCTGTTTGGGGCTACAGCAAGGACTTCAGTGTAGTGTGTCTGAGTGGGGTATCCTTGCCTGAGCCTATTATAGTAGGATATCGTTGTAAAACCGGCATTAGTGCGGGCTAGTACAACCTGTTGGAGCCTTGGAAGTTTGGAGCCGTGGAGCCGTACGGCTGTGACTCACTTGTGGCTTATTGTTAGCTGACGGCTATGTTTAAATGGGAGTTATGAAAGGAAACACTATTTCGTTTGTCTCATTAGTTGCCAAGGTTACGTATATATTCTCAGTTGACCTAATCAAATTGGGACGCTGTCTATTTTTGAAGCAATAGCTTTACCAGTTCTTATTGCGCTTAACTTATAACACGGCAGAAAAGTAAGGGCTGTAGGGAGACGATCGTCGAAGTTTCCCTTGTGAATCGGCGGAAAATGCTCTTTTGTTTGTGTCAGTGAAATGAGTGAGTTTGATTTTAATAAGTTTGAAATATTTCAGACACATCAGTTTGTCAGTTCGTATGGGAGGATTGATTGGTTGGTTGGTTGGTTGGTTGGTGTTTAGCGCCGCACTCAGCAATATTCCAGCTATATGGAGGCGGTCTGTAAATAATCTAGTCTGGACCAGACAATCCAGTGATCAACAGCATGAGCATCGATCTACGCAGTTGGGATACGACATGTGTCAACCAAGTCAGCGAGCCTGACCACCCGATCCCGTTAGTCGCCTCTAATACAAGCATGGGTTACTGAAGGCCAACTCTAACCTGAATATTCACGGGTATCGTATAGGAGGAAAGCCCTAAGTGATGCAGGACACGCTCATCTTCGCCCTGATGAAACTAATGAACACAAGTATGCTGCTGACAAACCTTTAATCAGTCAGGGAGAATCTGTGATTCAAACTCATGACAATATCTTTCCAGCCCGACCAAAGTCTTTGTTGGGTGTTTAACGCCTCACTCAGCAATATTCCAGCTATATGGCGGTGCACGCTAAAGAGAATAAACTTGTCAGTTAAAATTGTCCTGATGATAAAAATGAGAATATCGTATTTCCTTTACCCAACATTCAAGACAATATCCACGCAAAACACATTCCCTTCAAAAAGTACTCATCAGCCATTTCACTTTAAAACGGATTCACATGTAATTCAATATCAATTTATCATCTGCAATTTCAGAATCGAATCAAATCGAAGGAAAGAAATTACTTGGTAATAACACTACAATAAATATTTAAATATTTGAGATTAAAACAGCGAAGGGCGATTCGTAAATCTCGACACGTTCGTCATTTTTATTCACTCTTTCGCGATAAGCCAAGGTTGTAGCTGTCAATTATCCATGTGATTTGCTGTAATTGTACAATGATTTATAAGTGTGGGTTTAAAAACTCCTTACTGTCAGTTAGAATTTCTTTATTTCCTTCAAAAGACAAACATTCAAAGACACTGGTGTTTTGATAACACAGAATATCAGAGGCAAGTAGAAAAAAGATACTTCTAAAAACTTTATCGTCGATTTGTTGCTGCATAGAGTTACCTAAAGAGTTTCTGAATCATTAACTATCAAAACCACATCACTTCAGAAATCACTTTTGATCGTTACGCACAATCTAGGTATTTGAAATATAACTTCGTCTGGCTATTTCGGTAGTTAGCTATAATATTCTACTTCATCGCAGTAGGTTGTATGATTGAATGATAGGTGTCCTGTTTATTACCTTTTCAATCATGTGTATTGACAACTTTCAGAGACGATGAATCCTTTGTGATTCTCCAAATGAAATTGTAAATCGTTTTGCCAAAACGGTGTGTTATCTCCAAGGGGAAATTTGACATGAATGTGGCATTTGTGAGTAATTGATCCAGAATGAGTGAGTCTGGCTTTCTGCAAGACCTTCTCGCCAGTTTCCAATGTCTGCTCAAACAGATTCCATTGGGCACAAAAGGCACATTTGTGATGACAATTATAAGACGGTGCCAGATTGATGTGACGCGTGTCTGAGACGTCTACCACTGTGGGGAAACTCGCGTTCATAGAGGGAATGACAAATTTGGAATAGCATCACAGCAAATCTGAGAGTCGAAACCACGGTTATAGGCTTCTTGTTGAACCAAAGGGACAAAATCCACACACGCTTTACTGACACAATGGATGATTGGGCCAACCGTGTCTCAATCACATTCAATAATCTGAACTTATTTAGATATATACATGTATAACAATATTATCACAACATTTACTTTATTGTTCTAATATACGAACTGTCCTAACATCATTCAATCACTGGATTGTCTGGTCCAGACTCGATTTGTTTATAAACAACATCGTACAGCTGTAATAATGAAACTAATACATACTGATGCTGCAGTCACAATTGTACAATACGAGATTTCTTATGGATGTGGAAAGGGTGTTGTAGCTTCTATTTAAGGAGGGCTTGACCAGTTTCAATAGAGAGAAACATCAGTAAGATTTTACTGTCATCGGGTAAATTCAGTCACATGATTTCGAGACAAGCGGAATGGGTTATCAGGCATGACGTTTAAATTTACATTTTAAAGCGGGAAATATAAAACATAACAATGTCATCTGCCTGGAGTGATTAATGCATCAAAAACCATGAATATGACACGGAAGCTGAACGTTGTAACTCCCAAAATCTACACATATAAAAATGCGTGCATATTCGAATTCAGCTGCCAAAAAAAAGAGTTTCGGATGACACATTTTACAAGGTGGTAGTCTAAGAATCTATAAATACCTTGTATAACTCCCACCAAATGGACAGTTCTACTTCCCTGCCACTCCAGGAATTTGTCTTGCTTCATTCTATTCTGATTAAGTCAGTAATGATAATATCCCATGATCGTTGACTAATGTAGCATCTCCTCTCCAGCGATACCATCTACGCGCGAACAGATGTCGCCTCCCTGTATTACTCGCCAATCTGAATAAAGGGAAATGTAGCTTACGACACCTAATTTCACGGGCATTTGGAAGTTAGGTTGTGATGAATCTCCTCTTATTGACCCACAAAGCTCGCCTGTATGTCTCAAGGACCAAATAGACGTGTAGTCGTGCGAGCTAATTTCTTGCAATACAACAGAGGTCAATCGACATATCGATACCGGTAGGACTACTTCCCTCCTCCCTTCTTACTCTCCATCCCCTCCCTCGTTCTTTCATTCTACTCACGGTTTATTTGACCATTGCATGGTCTAATGCATAATTATACAGCTGCCATCATCGTTTAAGGGACATTAGGTTTAAAGGACTTTCGAACAACTACAAATTACATCAATTAGACTATGCCAGACTCCATTGGCAACAACCAGAATCAGTATTGATGGTTTGAGCATGTGCGTGAGCTCGTCAGACATGATGAAAAATCAGAAAACCTGACCAGAATTCAAGCTTAAAAATAGATTATCTTCTGTAACATTTTAAAGCATTTTAACAGTTTTCTCCAGACTTGCCTTACTTTGAGAATGGCTTTGAGGATGGCATCACACAATAACTTTGACGATAGTTGGTAGTTTTGCTTTTATGTCCGTATGGCGCTGTGCAGCCTCCGAACTGCAATGACGTTATGTCTGAAGATCATTATTCGGTGTAATAGCCTTCTTCGTGCTCTTCTTTTGATCCGTTAACAGTACATTGTACATTCCCTCTTTCATAAAAGACCGCGTTTGTCTGTGTAGGACATGAAAAGGTTGAATGTCTTCTGGTAAATAGAATTAGATTAATGGGGACACAAGAATGTTTACTTGAAACCAAGTTCATTGTTGTTTGTGAGTCCTTTTCGGAATAAAACCCGAGGCACACATTCCGAGATGCAAGTTACTCTATTGTATTGTCAGCATAAAAGTAGCCATTCTGATTATTAAGCGCCAAATACACATATCACTAGTAACTTGAAAAGATTCTTCTACATCTAATTTTCTATTTATTTCCTGAAACAGGGCAATTCTGTAAAATTCTTTTCATCATCGTTCGGGTCATTTAAACACGCATTTGAAAGATTATATTTTCAGAGTGGTCAATATATTTCAGGTAGATCCTGCACAAAGGTCCTATTTTAGTATCTCTTCCTATTAACGTCACTGTTTTATTAACATTGCGTCCAGACTCGTTAATGTCTCCAGAAATGTCATTTCAAACAATAGCAAAGGGCATTCAATCCATTTTCTTGTTGCTGTATGTAGTCAACTTTCGTCCAAAAATAGACTGAAGCTTATTAACATTTAATATTCAGTAATTTATATTATATAGCATTCTCTTTATCATTACACTTCAACTTTCAGCAGTTGCTGATCTATGATGTGAGTTTTTAATATAACATTTCGTACAATATATTCGTTTCTTCATTTGCAATTTCGCCCTTCATTGCCATAGAAACTAAAAATGTCATGTTTCGACTACTGAGCTACGGATGCCTCTGTGGCTTCAATGGCAAAGAGGGTGCTCAGAATGCTAGGACAATGGCGCTTTATATGGTAAGAACAATGGAATGTTGCTATTTCTGTTGCTATTGGCAACCAATTTCAACTTCATATACGGTCATGAATATTCGATGGACAGGTGGCATATGCAACACGAGTAATGGGATGGATGTGAAGAATCCAGGTTTTACTGTTTAGAACACCTGGTGTCATCCATGTTCTATAGTCATCTTTATATTTTTCACCTCCTTTTTACCTCTGCCTTTTACGATCCAAAGA